CCTGGACAAGTAAGGAAGACAAAGGAAGAGTTGATTACTTCTGAATTGTGGAATTTGTGAAGATCAAATATACCATGGACTGTATAAAGAACAAACACATCTGTCTTGGAAGAAGTATATAGTCAGAATGCTCCCGAGACTCACATCCTTTGGGTATCTTCTCAGGAGAGATCAGTACCTGAAAAAGAACGTTATGTTTGGTAGAGAGTCAGTGACAAAGAGGAAGAGAACCAATAAAATGGATGGACACAGTGGGTTCAAACACAGCAGCAACTGTGAGGACAGCACAGGGCCCGGCAGTGTTCTCTTCTGTTGGAAAAAGGGACGGACGCTGTGAAGGGGAAACAACTCAGATACCTAACAACAAAGATAGGAGCTTTATTGCCTTAATTAAAAAAACAAAAACAAAAAAACATGCCATTCTTTCCAGCTGGACTTTACTTGGCCTGCTCTACTCATATGTGCCCACCATGGCCACCATTTAGCAGGTGGTAAATAGCAGAGGCTTTGTTTGATGAATACAGGATGGAACTAGACATGGGCATGGCTCTGCGAAAAATGTGTTCAATGGCCAAGCCCGACCACATCATCAGTAGTGCAGCAAAATCTTCACTGTAAAAACTGAGGGCACAGTGGAAAAAAACAGTTTTCTAGTTACCCGGGAGAAATTACAGTGGATGGCAGAAAACTCAGTGTGCAACTTTACTGACAATGCTTTGGTCCAACACAGGGAGCGGAAAGAAAAGGAAAGCGCAATGAAGACGATCGAAAGATGCAAAATTAGTGGTGGAGTGTGTTATGAACCATCTCACCTATACTCAGCCTACAAAAATAAAATAACAATTCCATTATCACTTGGGCAGAAATTAGCTTTGAGAACGAACAGGCCCAGTGCAATGAGCAAGTATTTATACTGCTTTTTTGTAGGACTATTATATTCAATTACTTCTATCACAAACACTCTTACCTACAATTATTTCAAAGTGTTGATTTAATTGGGATCATGCCTTGGTTAATAAATGAATATGAGCTTAAAAAATAAACTGAATTATAGCTAATTATATCAATAATCATATTAAATGTAAAGAGGGAGTTAAGAATGAGAGAAGAGATTTGAAAGTCTAGATGCTAGAAATCAGAAAGTGAACGGTTTCTAGCACGAGGATCTGCCAGCCAAGTAAGTCTGCCAGTTTGGAAAACTATAATCTTATAATGGAGATGGCTGCACTCCAGTATCCTAGCTTGATACCAGTCAATTAAATTAACATCATCAAACTAACTCCTTATTCTCGGGTTTATGCTCAATAAAAAGTCTTCTGGTGATGGTAGTCTAGCTTCCCACGAGAACTTTTTCAGAGCAAAATAGTCACATGGGCAATTTTTTTTCTGCTCACTAAAAAATGGGAGCATTATGATTTCTAGAGTAGACTTATGATTGGAGTTGGAATGAACTGTATATGAGGGGGTACCTCAAAAAAACAGGAAAAATGATCTACTGGGTGGAGCTTTCAAAGTATGCTTTTGCCCCCACTAGGTGAGCATCAAGCAACGCATTCTGAGTTAGTGCACCCAGCTGCGTCAACTAGGAAGGTTCTCTCTGGTCACAGTGAATGTTTTCGTAAAAGCAGTTTTGCTCAAACCTCGTTTTTTGTGCTGGCCAATTTAAAAGAACTGCATGCAGCTGTGAAATTTTATTTTCTGCTTGGGAAAAATGCCACTGAAACTGTTGTGATGTTGAACACATTTTATAAAGACAGCGCAATGGGAAAAACTCAAGTGTCTGAGTGGTTTCCTCATTTCAAAAAAGGTGAACAGCGATTGATGACAAACCTCGTTCTGGACGTCCATCAACTTCCTGAATGGACAAAAACGTTGACTCAGTACATCCAGAGTTCGTTCCACCAAGTCAGACTGTTAATCAAGCTTTCTACTTAAAGATACTGAAAATATTATATAACAGTGTGTGACAAAAAAGGCCTGATTTGTGGCAGACAGGGGACTGGTTCTGCCACCATGACAGTGCACCTGCTCACTCAGCGATTTCTGTGCACCAGTTTTTGGCAAAAACCCAGCATGCCTCTCTTGGCCCACCTGCATCTTACTCACCTGGCCTTGCCCTGTGCAACTTATTTCTGATTCTGAAAATGAAGAGGGACATGAAAGGATAGCAGTTGGACGACATAGAAAGGTGAAGGTATAAAACGAGCAAGGTGCTGTCAGCCATCCAAACAGAAGAGTTTGAAAAATGTTTCCAAGAATGGAATTGTAGATTTGACAAATGTATTAAATATAATAGAGTACTTTGAAGGTGATAAGGTTGTTTTGTAAAAAAAAATTTCTCTGCTTCTCGACACAATCGCTGAAGACAAAGTAGGTGCATAGCAAATGTAGTGAGGAAAGCTGATGGAGCCCAGCATTCAAAAGATATAGCACCTAGGGTATAAAGACTTGAAGGTAAACAAGGGGCCATCTAGCTCAGAAGCAACAAAGCCCACAGGGAAGCACACCAGCCTGTGTGATCAGGAGGTGTCAAAGGGATGAGGTATCAGGCATCAAAGAAGAAAAATCATATCACTGTGAATAAGGGGGAGTGCGGAGTAGAGGCCCAAAGACCATCTGTAGGCAACTGGACATCCCCTTATGGAAGGGTCACGGGGAAGAGAGGAGCCAGTCAAGGTGCAGTGTAGCAAAGATAAAACATATAACTTACCTCTAGTTTCTAAATGTTCCTCCCCCCACCCCACCACCGCCACTATCATGATCCCAATTCTACCTTACATATCTGGCTAGACTAGCAGATGTACACTGGTATAGATAAGAAATGAAAACACAGGGAATCGAGGAAGGATGATCCCTTCAGGACCAGTGGTGAGAGTGGTGATACTGGGAGGGTGGGTTGGAATGGGGGGGCGGGTTACAGGGATCTACATATAACCTCCTCCCCGGGGGATGGACAACAGAAAAGTGGGTGAAGGGAGACATCAGACAGTGTAAGATATGACTAAATAATAATTTATAAATTATCAAGGGTTCATGAGGGAGGAGGAAGCAGGGAAGGAAGGAAAAATGAGGAGCTGATGCCAGGGGCTTACATGGAGAACAAATGGTTTGAGAATGATGAGGGTAAGAAATGTGCTATATACAATTGATGTATGTATGGATTGTGATAAGAGTTGTATGAGCCCCCAATTTTAAAAAAAATTTAAACACATAGATTTGAAAAAAAATTCTGGATTTTTGGAGGTACCCCCTCATATACTAAGCCTAATGAAACTTGAGTCTACCAAAAACAAAACTTTCATCTGAACTACTATTCATTTCTGTCACTGAATGAGTCATGTCCAAGTCAAGTTTCATGTGGCATTCTATCTAATATCTAGCACATCAGTGCCAGCAGTCATACGCGCATACACACACACACACACACACACACACACACACACAAAACTGCCCTATGAGCTGTAAAAAATGGTTATGAGATAAAATGCTCCCAAGATCATGGTGGTTGCCCATTATTTTCTGAATGGTTGGTAAGGGGCTACACTAATATGATTCATAATTTTTTCCCATGGAATTCTCCCCCAAATGCGTTTTGTCAGGCAGGGCAGGCAGAAGGCTTATTCTGCTTGTTGGAATAAATCCTCATTAGGAAACGCAAGTACCGAAAGAGAAAAGACAAACAGATTAGATTCATAAGAAGTTCTCATGGGATTACCTGTATGCCCTCATTATCAACATCTGGGAAAGATGTCTGAGATGCGGTTTCATTTTTTTTCAAGGTTGGCGTATTTAGAAATTGACTAATTTCTTTGGATTTTTCATGGAGTTGATCTACGGAAAAGGAAATAAATACAGTGACATAATTTCGGCCTCTAGCCTAAAACTTACAGATTTATTAACTCCTAGGGATATATCCAACATTGCTTACTCTAGTTCAGTTTTAGCTAACTTACTGAAAACTGCAATGTCAATGACAATGTTGCTCTTTCATTATTTAAATGCTCTCAAACGCCAAAGGGCACATCAGTAACCCAATTCCCTCAAAAATACCATAAAGTAGAGCATGACACTTTGAAAAGTCTTTTTTTTTCCCCTCTTGATAAGTGCTTTGGCATGTTTATTTTCCTTGTTTAAGTTATATTGATCTCTACCAAAACCCGTGAGACAATTGTGAAAATGAACATGGCCGAGTAACACACTGATACTGGGTAATGCTTATCAAGACTTCTGACTCATGTTCAATTCTTCAATACAAGTCTTTAACATAAGTCTTTAAACTATCTTTCCTTTAGATGTATGCCAATTTATTAACAAGTTAATTAATGAAGAAGAGTGGTGAGATGGAGAACTACTGTTTAATTTATCAACTTCTAAAAGGCTTTAACTTTTTACAGACAAGAATTGCATCTATAATTAACACACTGTAAAAAAAGCTTTCCTTAAGCTTTTTAAAGGAATAAGCGTTCCCTTTAAAGTGAAAGTCTCTCCTATGCAAAAAGTCTTTAGACCGATCTTTAGATCTAAGGGAAACTCCATGCAATTTAGGTCTCCCAGTCTAAGCACTACATCTAGCCTTAGTCGTCCTCCAGGCGCTAATTCAAATCCTGTTCATTTCTGTCACTGAATATTTCATGCCAAAGTCAAGTCTCACATAACACCCTATCTGAGGTCTACCACAGCAGTTATCAACAGTGCAAATACAGTAATAATAATTGTACTGTCAAGGCAGATTCTAACTTCAGAGAAATGCGACAAGGGGTCTGGGAAGATGCATTGTTAAGTTGTCTTTTGATTTCATCTGTTTGAGAAAATAACGTCCTTAGCAGATCTCTATACAACTTGACACAGATGTACATTTCAAAAGCAAATACCTTCTAGCTGTTGAATTGTCCGGGTGGACTGAACTGACTGTTCACTCTTCTCTTGGAGGAGCTTTGAATTTTCATCCTTGAGAGCATCACAGCAAGACTGCAGGTCTTGTTCAGTCTTCTGAAGACTCAAAATGTGAGCAGTCTTCTCTTCTATTTCGATGTGGTGCTCCTGCTCCAAAGCTCTGTACTGTGACTCCAGCTCAGCGAGAGCCTGGCCTGTATGCTCACGCTGTTCCAAAAGGAGGTGCACTTCTTCCTGAAGGCTATGGAGGGCTAATTTTTTCTCAGCTACTTCAAGTTCCATCTTTTCCATCAAAATCTTGGATTCCTGTCTTTCTGTTTCCAATGTGTTCTTTAAAGTATTATGCTCACCTTCCATTTGCTGTAACTGCTGAAACAGAACCTAAGATTAAAGATAAAAACTTCTTAAGTCACAAATCCATCCTTTCATTTCAGTAAACAGAGTCAAGGGTCTCTCTTCTGGGTGAAGCACTGGGTTAGGCACTCAGGATCAAACGCAGACCCCACAGTGGCATGTTGTTGCTGCTGCTGTTTGTATGCCATCAAGTGGGTTCTGACTCATGGTGACCCCATAGGACAGAGTAGAACTGCTCCCCAAAGTTTCTTGGGATGTAACCTTGACAGAGGCAGAACAGCAGTTCTTCCCCCCACCCCCCACCTGTGGAGCTGCTGGATGGGTTTGAATTACAACCTTTAGGCTAGTCATCAAGCATTTACCCAATGCACGACCGGACTCCTTGAGTGCTGTATACAAGATACATGCTTGCAGGGGAGGGAACAACAGAATCAAGGAGTAAGAAATTAAAGAGATGTCAAGTTGTTTCTAAGCCAGAGCTAGAGTATTGATGGGACCGATACAGAGAAGACAGATGCAAATTACGTATTTAAAAGGTAAAATCGCCAGAAGTTGGCAATTAATTTAACGAAATGTTGATGAAATATCAAGGAAGAAACAAGAAAGCCTACTCAGTTTTACTCATTTGAGTAAATGGTCAATTAATTGAAAGATGTTCTAACAAAAGGATTAGATTTTAAGGAGGGAAAATGAGTCCTGTTTTCATTTGATAGATTGATGTGGTTTTGTAGTTACTCACAAAACTGGATATATATCAACAGCACTGAAGAGACAGAGATTTAGAAGGCATCAATAGGAGGAGGCCTCAAAAGGTTCAGGAAAAAATTTGCATGATGTTTTTCATTACAAGGCACACTGTCACATCTTTCTGGCATAGAACAACTGGCGAGTTCAAACTACCAACAGTGTGATTAGAAGCCAAGTGCTTAAACACCATGCCACAAGGGCTCCTTATTTCCCCAAAGTAAAATTCATTAGTGAGTACCTGGTTGCGCTGTTCAGCAGCTCTCTGCTCCTGTTGGAGCAAGTCCACAACCTGAGCACGGCCAGAAAGAGCTTCTTCATGTTCTTCAAGTTTTCTCTGCAGCATCCTCAAGTTCTGACCAGAAAAGATATTTCACGTAATATACTAGCAAATGAGCACCATTATCTGCTTCACTTTCCAAAGGTCATATAGATTTATGCATTTAGGATATTTGGATGTTGAAGATGACCGAGTAAAGCGTGAGATACTAGCAATGCCATGTGCTCTGTGGCCCAACAGAAAGAATGTCCAAAACTGCCTCTCCAGAGTACTGACAGCAACTTCAGTCAGAAGCAAGCTGGTCCAAGAACCAGGGAGCATTTTTATAACAGAGAAAGGACGACACCACTTATTTTTTAAATTATATCAATAGTGTCCAGTACGTACAAAACGTAGGTACATGTGTATCCCAGCTCATCCACCACATATTCTTCAGGGGAAAAAAAACACATTTTATCTACTTCTGTCATGTACAAGATAGGCACTTGATAAACATTTCCTGAATAAAGAAACTAATGATCCAAAATCCACTGCCGCTGAGTCAATTCTGACTCCTAATGACCCGGTAGGGCAGAGTATAACTGCCCCATAGGGTTTCCAAAGCTGTCAGTCTTGACAGAAGCAGGCTGTCACTCCTATAGAGTGGATGGTGGGTCTGGAACTACCAACCATTCTATTAGCAACTGAGTGTTTTAATCACTATAGGACAAGGGCTCCTAAACTAATGATACACATATACAGTGAATATTCTACTTATGAAATGTTATTCTACCCCTCACTTATGGTTAGGTTCCAAGGACCAGATCATTATGTGACACTTGGCATGATCTGACAATGGAGGATGATCACATCAGATAACAAAATGGATGATGACTACAGCATTACATAACTGCCAGATCACTGAGAACCACGGCTGGGCCAGGTAGACACAAAAACACACATAGCCAGCTTGAGCCAGTCAGCATTAACCTTGCCTTCAACCTCAGCATTCATTAGTGTCAGATATATGTCAGATTTTTTTAATACTGTCATAAATGTGTAGTGTTGGATAAGGGGATAGTCAGTACGTGAGGAGTAAGAGTACTCAGAATTTTGTTAGTACTTTAAGCTACATGATTGCTTCGAATTTGGAAGTTTTCACTTAAAAACAGTCAGTCAGCAAATAAGTAAGCATGCCTTTGGCTACTGCACTTTGCAACATGTTAATTAACAAAAAAACTTTTGAATTAGTAGTGATGAACTAAAAAATAATGAAGCCAATTTCAAAATTCTCACTTAATCTTTCTGGAGATTAAGAATGATAGATTTATAAAAGGCTTCCTGTTTTAAAATCACTTCATCTTTAATTTTTAAAGTTTAAAAGTGGCTTCATTGCCTGAAATTTAGCTATGACCAGCAAATCAAAGAGGAACCAAATGCTAACTACCACAATGATTCTCAGATGAAAGCCAGCTCCTTTAGTCCCAACAACCTGATCAGAAGAGGGCTGAAAGGAGGCGAGAATAATATGCGATAGATAGGAAGACACAGACACCGAAATGAAACCCGACTAAGGTGCATGCAAAGACCAACAGAAGAGCCGTGAGCAAGGGTAGAAAGTAACTCTGATGATTTAGTTAAATGTTAACCAAAAGGACAATTCCTTCTACTAAGATTTAGCAACACACCTGTTGCATCTGTGTTTCCACATCTGCCTGGGTTACTAACTGAAGAAGCTCATCCTCATGAAGACGAACTTGTGTCTCAAAGCGGGCATCTTTCTCTCGGACCACCTGCTGCATGGAACTCAACTGAAGACACACACCAGAAAAACTATACAAGTTACACTCCCGGAATACTGCACAGCTCTCCAAAGATACAAAGACAGACTCTGAGAATTGACAAACAGTAGCTTTTTTTTAACGTTTTTAATTTCAAGAAAGAGAATATTGGAAGAGAGAAAGTTAGGCCTGATAGTAACTTCCAAATATGAGAGATCTATTCTCAAACTTAAAAAAAAAAAAAAAGAATATAAAATTTGACAAGAAAGTATACTTACGCGGTTACTAGAAATGCTTTAAATAAGGATTTACAAATGTGATATATATTTTAAAAGGTTTAAGGCAATTATAACATTAAACAGAAAATCAAGTTGGGTATCTGCTAAGCCCTAGACTTTTTTTGTTTGTTTTAAAATCATTTATTTTATTGGCGGCTCGTACTACTCTTATTACAATCCATGGATCTACCCATTGTGTCAAGCACATTTGTACACTTGTTGCCATCATCATTCTCAAAATATTTTCTTTCTACTTGAACCCTTGGTATCAGCTCATTTTCCCCCCTCTCTCCCCGTCCCCCCACCCTCACGAACCCTTGATAATTTATATATTATTATTATTTTGTCATGTCTTAGACTGTCTGACATCTCCCTTCACCCACTTTTCTGTTGTCCATCCCCCAGGGAAGGGTTATATGTAGATCCTGTGATCGGTTCCCTCTTACCATCCTGGTATTGCTACTCTCATTATTGGTCCTGAGGGCTTTATCTATCCTGGATTCACTGTGTTTCCGATTCTTATCTGCACCAATGTACATGCTCTGGTCCAGCCGGATTTGTAAGGTAAAATGGGGATCATGATAATGGGGGAGGGGAGGGAAGGAAGCATTAAAGAACTGGAGGAACCCATTGTATGTTTTATCATTGCTACATTGTATCCTGACTGGCTCGTCTCCTCCCCGTAATCCTTATGTAAGGGGGTTAGACACTTGTTTTACAATTACATCCATGTTCACAATTTTTCAACGAATATCTCATGCTTTTAAGTTAAAATTCAAACTAGTTGGTATCTTATATTCATATTATCTCAACTAAGAATATAAATAAGTCTTTCAAGCTTTTTGTTCAAAGAGTTGCTTTTACCAAAAACGTAGTGTGCTTCCAAACCCACACTACTGCCCAGACAACTATTTCCACAGCTGCCATCGTTTGCAGGCTTCCACATAATACTCATTTGTATTTGGCTCTTACCTGAGTATAACGGAGAAACCAGAACAGAAATGGATTATGATCGGCTAGCAGGATTGTTTTGCTTTTAAGATTATGGTTTGTGTGTATGCCTGTTTCTTTAAAATACACAGTTGAAGATGTTGATCAACTATTTAACTCCTGCCAATTTCTCAATTTGTGATGTCTTGAACTGACCTTCAAATTGACCTTAAATCTCTCTGGTGTCAATCTTCAAAAAAATTGCTTTATTCTGATCTCACTATGAATCTGGTATCTTGTGCAGGCATAGGACTCCTTCATTACTTAAAGACATCTACATATACTTTCCCACATACGTGCCCTTTCCCACCACCTCCTTAGTACATTCACTCGTAATCACTCTCCACAACTGAACCAGCTCCCCTACAGGATCTCGCATTATCCATCCACCCAAAGAGCCTACATCCATGTAGCCTTCCCTTGGCTGCCACACCCACAGTAACCTCTTAGCCCTCAAACTACTTCCAGTTTGTGCTGCTGCTCACCTGCCTTGCATGTTAACAGATCTTCTCAACACACTGAAGGACTTCTGGTGGTGCGAGTTGGGTTACGTACTTGATCGCTACCTGCAAGGTTCTTAGTTCAAATGCACCAGCCATTCCGTGGGTTTGCTCTCGTGAAGAGTACAGTCTCGCAAACCCTAAGAAACAGTCTACTCTTTCCTGCAGGATCACTGAGTCAGAACTGACTCTAGAGCAATGAGCTTTGGTTTGTTAACAAGATGTATCTTGGCTTTCCATGCTTTAAGCACCTTATAAGCAAGAATAGCATTCTGTACTTTTTTATCCTATATATTATAACACGGGAGCTCCCAAAAGTTCATGAAAAAATGGAAGATAATGGAATCTTTCCTTGAACTTTTAGAAGACCCCTCACACTTCTATAGAAAAAGGAAATAATAAAAATAGGCAACATTTAAAATTTTAGGACACTTAATTTTAACTGTATATATGGCAGTAGGCCTATTATAGACAGAACAGACCTCTAATTTACAAATTGTCAATAAAATTAAAATGTGGCAGGTAAGTCCAGTTATGGGTACTCTAGAAGTGGAGGCAGAGTGTTTCATGAGTCAAAAGCATTTCTGAGCAAAAAATATGGGAAGCCAATTAGAAAATTTAGAAATAGAGCCAGAGAGAAAGAGTTTATATTGCCACTCTGGTCCTGGAGACAGAAAGAACTGTGAAGAAAGATACATGCCATGTAAAAATCAATCATAAAAGCACGACTTTGTGATGACATGCAAAAGTAATCTCCTGATTACACTTGAATTTTCATTTAGATTTCATTATAGAGCAAGAACAAGGGCTTCAAACCCGTTCAGTTCCAGTCAACCTAGAGAAACCAGAACAGAAATGAACTTGGGACCTCTCGGTGTACCAAAGCAATACACTGACCAGGGCAGAAAGAGGTCAAACTCCTTGGATGAGAAACTTGGAAGAAGTGTGGTGCTCCTTTCAGGAGGCTGATGTGGGACAAGAGACTATTAGCAGGACTGTGGGGAGTGACACTGGGTTCTCAGCAGGACTGAGGAGAGTGGTGTAAAGCAGCACAGTCAACCGTGAATGTTGAGCTGGGGCTCACTATTTTATGACTGGACTGGTCAGAGATTTGCTTGCTTACCAAAGCACACTCAGCCCTTGTTTTCTAAGAGGAATTTAAAAGTCTAGCAGGGCACTGCCTGGTTATTTTTCATACTCTGGTTATCATTCCACTACACCCACAGTTTACAAAATTGTTCAGTTGGCCATGAATAAACTAGACAAGAACCTGTTCAAGGACAGGCAAGAATAGATTTTGTTTTGTTTTTCTAGTCATTTGTATTTCTAATTCACATTTGTAAGTGGCATTTTGGTTTACCCATTGGTCTCTCTTGACCTTAGTTAGCATGTGCCATTCTTAAGAGATTGGACTTCTGTGGGCTATGAAAATCAAGCTTCTGGGTCTGCAGAACCAAGGAGCCGTCAGAAACTAGGTCATGGCCAATTCTTCCAAGTAAACAACATCTCAGGAAGTTTCTTAGTAACATACTTACCTTCCACATCACTCTTCTAATTTCTATTTTGGCATTCTACCGATTAAAAGTGTTTGTCTGAAGTGATTTATTATGTAGTAACCCATAGGATTTTCATGATTCTCTATCCCAATCAATATAAAGCTCCTTCGACTTACCTGGGCAGCTTGATCTGCCTGAGTCTGACTGAGCTGTGCTTGCAAAGCACGAGCGAGGTCCTCCTTTTCTTTGAGTTGTTGCTTCATCTTTACAAATTCTTCCATCTCTGTACAATTCTTATCAAACTGAAGACACAGAAAATGAGGGTTTTTTTAGCACAGGAGTAAGTATTAATTCCTTGAATCTCCACCTCTTCTCATGTGCCCTAAATACCTACCACACTGCTTCAAAAGGTAACTACATTTTTTTTTTTAATTACTTTTTTTTTAAAAAGAAACCACCAATATTTGTCAGAGGAAGAGACGGAAGCAAAAGCAGTTTTAAAAACTTCTCTGAATCCCAAATTAGGAAGAAGCAGACAGCACAACTAGGTAGTAAAACCAAAAGCCATGAGTAGGTAGTCCCACCTCTCAGAATTCAAGCAAGACGGAGGCAAAAATCAAGAGGCGTGCACCATAGAGGCCTGTGCAAAAAGGTGGAGGAAGCAACAGAATATTGTCTATGGCCCTGAGAACAGGAGACGCCAAATAATGAATTACATATTTATTTGAAAGCACAGCAGCTTAAATGTGGGAGATTATCTCGTTCTCCAGTACTAGGTAAATCAAGGGCACCTAGATAAGGAAGGAAAGAATCAGAGCAGGGGAGCCCCTCAACACTCTCAGAACATTCTCATCAGGTTCCCTTCCAGGCCAGGCCCCTGTACAAACTGTCCAAAACTGTAAGGTAAATCAAAATTAAGCAGACTAGGGAACAAGAAGACAGAAGAGAAGCTATACACATGGAAGTTTAATTCAGTATTAATTAGCCACATGTGGCTATGGAGGGCATGATGGAGTGAGTGCCCAGGGCAACTAAGAACCTAGGTTTTAATATTTATTTCATTTGAATTAATTTAAATATAAAACCCAAAGAAGTATATTTTCCCATTAAATAACAACTTTGCTTTGGTATGACTACATTTCACTTTATCTGTTGTGCCATGCTGTATGACGTGTTGTGCTGCTGTCTGAGCAACAAATGCACTTATTTCTAATGTAATTAATAAGCACATCACCCCAATTATTTTCCTACATAGTTTGTGGATTAGCTATTCAGATCTGAGAACTTATTAAAATTAAAGCATCTAACACAAAAATGATTGTATACATTTTTCTAGCAGGAATCAAATACAGATGCTTTTAATAATAATCAAAGGCATGTGGACATGCTGCAAAAAGTGTATGAAATTTTTGAAGAAAATTCATTATATCTGATGTTAAGACTTTCCCAAAAAGTTCTTGGGAAAGTGGAATTAAGCGCTAATGAAATTTTTCAGCTAACTTTTTGAAGCCTTTTGGCACCTCATAACTTAGACTATTTTTAAAACAGCTTTATTGAAGTATAAATGATAAATCACAAGAAATGACATATAATGTAAACTATACAACTTGCTGGTTCGACATCTGGATACACCCCAGAGTCACATTCAAATAAATAAATCTACCAAGCTCTCTGATCTGTTTTCTGTCATCAAAACTAGTATGCATTTCCTAAAATTTTAAATAACTTGAATAAGACATTACAGCTTCTTTTTAATTTACTTTTACTCAGTATAATTATTTTCAGATTTATTCAGATGGCACATGTATCAGTATTTCATACCTTCTCACTTCTAAGGATGATCCCATTGTTTGACTCTATCACAGTTTATCAATTCACCTGTGGATGAACATGTGAGTTGTCCAGGTTTTGAGTATTACAAGTAAAGCTGCTGTGCACTTTCATATACTATAAGTAAGAAGTATGTATTTCTTACAGTAGTATCTTTGAAACTGATGTTATTTTCAGTCAAATGAATTTTTCTAAAAATGATTAACCTGTTTTTCTATGTAGATTTAATTCAAGGTGCCTTAGTGGCACATAGGTTAAGAATTGGGCTTCTAAAAAAAAAGGGAAGCAGTTCAAATCTACCAGCTGCTCCTTGGAAGAAAGATGAAGCAGTCTACTTTCATGTTGATTTGTTTGTTTACTTTTGTCTTTTCTTTTCTTCTTACCCTAACCCTAACCCTAGCTTTCATGTTTTTCAAGCTTTCACAGCCTTAGCATTACAGCCTCAGAAAGCCTAGAGTAGCTGTCTAACTTGTGTGGTTGCTGTAAGTCTGAATTGACAAGTCAGAATTTACAGAACAGAATAAGCTCCACAAGAGTGGGTTGTGGGCTTGGGATTCCAAAAAAGAAAGATGAAGTTTTACTACTTGCTTCTGTTATTGGACAACTTTCAAGTACGAATGGAGGAAATTAAGCATGTGAATCTATTTTCTCAATTTTAGGTTATGAAATAGAATACTTCACAGATGCAGTAATGCCAGTGAAAACTTAGCACTCAAATTAAGATGTCATTTAAAACACATTCAATTAGGATTTAATATGAAAAAAAATGTAAATAATGTAAAAAAATTTGTATTAATATTTAAACTACACTGTTTTAAATATAGTATTGGATTTAGTGAACTACAGTATTAAAATTTCTATCACCTGTTTCTCCTTTATCTTTTGTAATAGGACTGCTTGAAAATATAGAATTATATATCTAGCTTACATTCTGTTTTATGGGTTAGTAGTACTATACATCAAAGTAGAGGAGGGGAAGAAAGCTAAGAATTCTCAGAAATCCAGCTACCACATCTCTCAACATTGTACAGAAAAGGAAGATGTTAAGAAAACTTTTCCTGAACGAAGTCTTCTGATAAAAATTCAGAAAAACCACTTTCACACAAAACTAAGCAATAGAAATTTCTAAAGTACAAAGGTCTAATACCATTTAAAAATGATATTTAAAAAGCAGTAAGGAGTAAAATAACATCTCTACCAGAACTGAAACCATATTAGAGCCATGCTCAAAAATACTGAAAGTATAATTTCTACAAAATTATAATCTATCTTTAGTTTTGAAAATTAAAGAAATTTGTACAATTTATGAAAGAACAAACACATCATTCTACAGAACAACTAAAAATATTAAGTAACAAAAAGAATTCTAAAAGGAGAAAATCAGAAGAGAAGCAAAAACAAAAGTAGAAGTAAACACAAAATATAAAACCATAGAAAAAGAGATAAAATGAGGGGAAACAAAACTGGAAAACTTTAATAACGTTTAAAAAGCAACATTTGAGTAACAAAAGAAAAGAAAAAGAAATTAAGGAAAGGAAACAAATATTGAAAATAATTCAAAAAAACCATGTCACAGATAACAGAAGTCATTAAAAAAGAAAACCAGATCAAGGGCAGCCTAAATATTACAAATTATATAATTCAAGAAAATAAAATATTTGAAGCCATATGTTGTAAGAATATACTTGGTAAAAATATGAACCAAGAATAATAAACACCAATGCATATTCTAACAAAATTACTGGACTTAGGAATGAGCAATAAGAAGGAAAGATAATGG